ACAGCTACAATGGGTACATTGTAACAATTCCCACACACTAGGATAGAATGGTACAAGAGGAAAACAACACCCCAAAAAACAACTTCCGTCTGCCTACCTTGTGAAGGGATTATCGAAAAATATACAAACGTTCTGTGGTCCATATAACATCAGAATGACCTAACATAGCGGAGAACATGATTAAGAACTGTGTGTACACCATCCCATGCAGCTGTGGCAAGAAATATAAAAAGGACTACGACTGCAGGAATAACATAAAGCCGTAACGCGAAGTGGTAGGGTAGAAAATCAGGCGTGGCTGACCATATATCGAGGGAAAAGTGAAATCACCTCTCTCTGTGGGATGTGTTTGAAATAATAGACTGAGACAGAGAACATCACTGGAAAACACGTAAACTTAAGGGATCAGCGCATATGTTAGGCCACAAAAATCTAAGCTGGCTAAGCATAGGCATAAATACAATAGGGGAACCAGTAATACAGACTGCTGGATAAAACATTAATAACAACAAATTGTAATATGAGTTTTGGTAAAAAAAAAATTACTGAGCCATCAGGTTTATACGTCGGGCTCATGGCTCAGTGGATAAAAGCGTTGCTTGAAGTTATCAGGTGATTTCAATAGTTGGCCATAGCAGAGGTGAACAAAACTTGGATATTTGAATTACAAAAAGGGAAATAACTGAAAATAAGAGTTGAGTTACTAAAATATATCCAGAAAAGGCATGGCACGTAGAACTAGAACAATCTACACCAGTGGACGAAATAAAGAGTTCACTTCGAAATTCCAACCTATAGCACCTGAAGAAGACCGGCGCGGACTACGGCCGAAACGTTGTGAATATGACAATAAAAATGAGGACAACAGTCCAAACAATGTCAATAGTGTAAATTTAAATGCAACATCAGCCATCATCTTTTGTGTCATTAAATCCTATTCATTTAACATACTCCCGCCTCAATTACATTTGTATTTCATTCTCAATAACCCGTTACGTCTTAGTGTATTTATTGACTTGGTTCAATTGAAAAGACTAAAATATTGTACGTCTTTCATTTGGGTCGTAGAAATCCTTTATTTAGCATACGTTTGAACAAGACTAATTTCAGCACAGGGGAGTAATTTTAAAGTCATATTTAGATGCACATAATTTTAAATTTGCACTCCATGGAGTAAATCGTTTTTCATGATTTATTGAACTGATATTATAATAATGAGTTTTGCGTGTTGGGGGATTGTTCTTATATTACAAGTGCACTAATCTATTAAAAGGGATAGGTCCTTTTTGAACCCTACTCAGATAATCTCTGATGTCTCATGTTTTTGTTACACACATATTTATATTGGAATTAAAATATTTTTTTAAAAAAATAAAAAAATCAAATAAGACGAAATTAATCCAAAGATCTTTCTATTGTAACTGATAGGATTAACGGTTTGAGAAATGAATAACGATGTTAGAGAGGACTCGAACACAACATTAAGAACTTTGGATAGTTTCTTTATAAACCTAATTACGCGGTATGGCTTCTCATTCGCCGACGCGAAGAACTTAATTACAAAAATTGAATACAAAAGCCATGTCAGACAAATTCAAATAAAATATGTTCAAAATATATATGCGTATGTCTCTACTTACGTATGTACACAGAGATGTATTTGTGGAAATCCTCTTTATCTACTCTCCCAAAAGGATAGATAGATAGATAGATAGATAGATAAAGAGGGGAGAGATAGTGATAGATAGAGATATAGATAGATAGATAGATAGATAGATAGATAGATAGATAGATAGATAGATAGAATTATAGATAGATAGATATTCACTACTTCATTTCTTCTAAAACATCTTAAAATGAGATGTTTTTGTATTTTTTCTTTTTAAGTAAAACATGAAATTTCAGTTACTACACTGTATTTGATTTCGTTTTGACAAAAATACGGACTTAATAAAATTTATCTTACAACAGAGTGAGAATGAGCGTTTTTCAGTTTCTTGAATAATTATTGGGAATGTCTACCATCTGTTTTTTTCTTTCCAAAATTTGGAAAAAATGCCAAGAATTTCTAAAGCAGTAATTAAGGAAAGTGGTGTTTTTTTTTAATGAAAACAAAATATGATGCTGTTGTATGATAATATTGTAGTTGCTGAAAATTTACCTTTTACTTAAAAAATACAAAAAATACGTCTTAGGTGTTAAGAGATAAAGTGGGCTAATATATACATATAAAAGTGGACACTGAGGTCAACACCCAGCGGCTATAGTCTGTTTCATATTTGAACGCAATCTTCAGGCCATGTGTATTGTGTTTTGACTCGACTATTATTTTTTCTATTAATTTTAGTTTGTAGATAGATGATGGTGGGATAGGTATGTTTCTCTAGGTAGAATTGATGCTGACATCTTTACCTACACTTATACTTATATATACATATGCTCTATCTCTGATATTGAGCGCTTATACCCATAAATATAGCATATACTAAAAATATAGCAT